TCCCGGCGGGTTACGCGTCAGTACCTGCTGCCCAACACCCCTGCCAGATCCATCACCACCGCAACCCCAGGGCTCCTCCAGCCTTTAATACCACCGAGGCGTCACCAACGGGAGAGACGCTCCCAGAATAACAGCGACTGCTTCAGCAAACAGCGTTAAACCAGCTAAATTCTAACTCGTGAATTCCCTAAATCCACGTTCTCCTGCCCTGGTCTCCACTGCTCCAGGACGAGGCCACGTGGGAGCTCCGGGCCGGTGCCCCTGCGCCTGCCCCGCTCCTGGCTCCCATCCCCGTTTTGTCCCAGTGCCGACCGGGATCGCGGGGACAAAGCGCAGCCCGGCCTTTGTTCGGGCAGCTCCCCAGGAAGAGGAGCCACTAGATGTCATTGTATCACCGCGAACGGGCTCCGGGCGCTTCCAGCCGGCGCATCCAGCCTCGGGAAGAGCAATGGACCCGCAGAACACGAGGGCCCGGGGAGGCATCGGTGGCACCGCGCGTCCCCTCGGCTCCCGAGGGGTTCGGCCGCAGCCGGGACGCCCCTCGGTCACGCCAAAGGATGCGTGGGGTTGGGAAGGGCTTCCCTCTCCCGTCAGCTCCTCCACGACACAACCGTGCTGGAGAAGGTGATGTGCCCACGGGCTGCCCGCGGGGCAGCGCTGCCATGGACGGGGAGTCAATGCCGAGGGAAGCGGGATGGAGGCGGCGAGCGCTCCGCGCGGATCGCACAGCCTCTTCCCTTCGCGCGCCCAGGCCACGGGCGGTGACAAAGAGCCTCTCTCGGCCGCGCCTGGAAAACACAGCAATGAAGAAAACTGGCACGTCGGGGAAGAAAGCGCCTCGTGACGGATCACCGGCGCCACCGGCAGGTATCTCCATCAGCGCCGCCCGGGAACGCCGCGCGCGAGGGAGACGGGGAAAAAGGAGCCGAATGAACCGGCTCGTTGGGCTGCGCGCCGAGCGCGGAAGCGCCGGGGATGTGCAGGAATCTTACGGGACGCCCCATGCAGGTCCCATTCCCTGACCTGAGCTTCCTACAGCTGCTGCTGGGCCCTGTCCCAGCCTTTCGGGGTCTCGTTTTGTCCGTGGTCTTGTTTGAGGCGCCGCTCCAACGCTCGTGCTGTAGCGGGGAGCGGGGCTCCGCGCTTTGCTGTCATTCCCCCTTCCCACGGCCGCGGCTCCCGCCCCGCCGCCCGCTCCGTCCTCGGGGAATCCCGGCCAGGACAGCCCTGCGTCCGCTTCCCCGCCGGCCGCGCGGCCGCGCGCAGAGCGGAGCGGAGGGAAGGGCTGTCCCCGGCCCTGTCCGCAAAACCCGGCGCTCCTGGACGACGTTCCCTTGTTCCCGGCCTCCGCAAGGCGCAGGAGGATCCGAACACGCCTGAGTTCACAGCGAGGGCCCGGAAGAAAAGGAGCTAAGGATTTCAGAACGGCGAATTAAAGCCTTTAGCAAATGTAAATTTACATTTCTGCTAGGTTATCATTATGTTTTCACTTCTATTAAGCATCCAGTGAATCACAGGGATGTTTTGTCTAGAGATGTGAGTGGCGGGGGGAGGGCGGCAGCCTTCCCACTGCAAGCGCAGCGGGAGGAAAACGGAGAAAGGAGCTGGGTTTTGCAGGAATAGCAATTATACCAGCCCATCATCGCCCCTGAAATCATCGCACGGAAAAGGCTTGCAGAAAAGAAGCGTTTGGGGCACAGGAGACGGCAGCATTGTAAGGTTTTTTCAGCCCGAGGTGCGTGTTCCTATGCACAGACATGGTGCACAGGCCCAAAACAGGGAAAACGAGAAAGGGTTTGGGTATGTAAGAAACGCAGCCTGGCCCGTGGGCACCTCCCGGCGTCCCCTGCCCGCGGGTGCGTTAACGCCATCATCACCAGGATTATCAACATCCCCGAGGATCCCCGCGCGTGCAGCGGGAACGGGAGCGTTCCTACGTTCCTAGGGCTCCGTGGCGGCGCCTCCAGAGAGGAGCCAGGGCCTTTTCCTGCAAGGAGCAAAGAGTGTCGGCGTGCAGGCGGGAGGCATCGCACCCATCCCGCTCACCGGCGTCCGAAACGCGACGGGACACCAAAAAGGGCCGTGCGCGGCCCCGCGAGGCCGCTGTAAACCCCGTATTTCCAACACTATTTACCCTCTCTAAACGCCGTTGCAGGAACTGGGTTCAACCTGTAACCGATATTTCTGCGGCGCAGAAGATAGAGGTTTTGCAAAGCCGACGCTCCATAAGCAGCGGTTTACAGAGAGGGAATAGCGGCAGTTTTTCATTTTCCAGAGTCCACTCACCCTTCCAAGAATCTTAATGCCTCATTGATTCATAATACAGTACATAAAGATTTCATTTTTTCCTGCACACAGTGATATATTATGGAGGCAATCTATTTTGCCACTGAAAAGTTTGCTTAGTAGAAAAATTTGGAGTTTTGACATTCAGGAAATTACAGTCATCTGTAAAGCACGATTGATATGCCAAGGCTAACATTTTCATTGCACTTACGGAGCCAAAATAACTATGCTAAAATATTTATTATATTCTTAAAAAAAAAAAAATCAGAACCTTCTTTGTAAAAGAGTAAAAAAAAAAAACTGTTGGGGGGGCAATAAGCTTTATCCATATATTCAGATACGTTTTTAGCTATGCCTTAAATGTGCTTAGCCAGGTACTTTCCGGCCAGCTGAAGATCCATTAATCACGATTAATAATTTAATAAAATCAATAATCTGGAAAGTTTCCAGTCGGCCCTTAGATCCCCGGCACGAGGCTGACGTGGGGCTGCGGTGACGACCGCGGACGCATGAACGGAACCGGGACCTGCTGAGATCAGTTATTAATATGGTCTGGAAACACGATGGGGCAGAGGGCTCTGATCCCACTTTGGCAGATACATTTGTCTTTTTTATGACTTTTATGAATGTGTATTTATAAGTGGTAATTTGTCCTATTTCCCAGCCACTCGCTCTGATTTCCTAGCCACTGTTTAGATGTTAATAAACCCCACAACTCCATCGTATACAAAAAACATGTAGCGTTCAGCATCCCTGTCCCAACACTGCGGAAAACCTGGAGCTTTCAAGCAAAACACGTCAGCCCTAAGAACTCTGCCTGTTGCACAGCGGGGAATTAACTCGTGAGAGGTGTTTATAAAATCATTTGTTACCATATCAGAGCTAAATCAATTCTCTTCAATAATACATAAAAAGAAGAGGGTTTGGTTCATGGCAGAAAATGTAAGGCTGATGATAATTCCTTCACAAGCCATTTGCGGATAATCTCCCATTTGCCAGTTAACACAGCTCCCGATAGCTTACGAGAGAGTATTTCTAAATACTAAAGCAAGGATATATAGCACATAAAAAAGATGCATGTATGGAACTTATATTTAACTCACTATAATTTTGGGGCACACAGAAATCCAAGGAGGCTCTTTTACAGCCTTGCTACAACTTCTTTTTTTGCCAAAGGAAGGCAGCTACAAAAAATGCCTTTGAAATGTAATTAATGAGCTGATACCGGTTCTCAGCCCACGAGGACTGGACCACGTATCTGGGGCTGCAACGTGGTACCACTTCCAGTGCAGCTTCCACTGCTGCCACTTAGCACCACGAGACGGCCCTGAGGAAGAAATCTGTGTAACTGAAAACACCAGGCGTGCTCTTGCCCCACTAGGGCACTTCAGTGATATCATGCGATGGAAGGGGATTCTCATTTAATTGAATTGGAAACGAAACACATATTAGCTAAGAAAACTTAATCAGCGCAATAATATTAAAATAGGCCACTCAGACAAACTCTACTGATTAAGTCACTTGCAAACATTCCTGTAATCATCACGGAGACTTCTGGCGTTAATGATTTAAACTCGCTTTTCTACTCCAGGGAACAAAACTGTAATTTCACAGGAGACAATTAGAATATTTTAAGCCCTCTCTCCTGCGTTATAACCGAGTCTCACAGTAAACACAGGAAGGACGGATGCTGCGAGGACGTCTCCGGAGCCCTGACACGCAGGGAGGCCCGCGGGATGCGGGAGCGTCATCGAGGTGTTTGGATTAAGCAGGGAGACGACCCAAACGGCACCACGGAGCTGGGGGCTCTAAATACCCCCTGGCACGCCGGGATTTTAGAAATCTCGCTCACACATAGTTCACACAACTGGATTTAAAATCTGCACGCAAGGGCAGAGTGCATTGCTAATGAAATGCTGGGGATGGGTCTGTTGTGCCAAGGCTCAGCTGGGAGGGGTTTTATTCCAGCTAAACAAGCCAGACTTTCTACACGATACACGACAAGAACATCCCATTTCCCACGCAGGGTAGCTCTGTCGTATGGCCAAGGCGCCTGTTTTACTTAACCTGAGTTTTATCAGGTTGGAGCAAGGCCCTTAAAAGGCACATTGATAGAAAAGGCCACTTCTGCCTTTTACACCAACCTGCAGCGGCGCAGGGAGGGCAGTGTGCTGGGAGCAGGACCAAGCACAGCCCGAGTGCACAACGTGCCTGGGAAGCGAATCCTGCGGGAATGCTCTCCGGGTGGCCAGGGAAAGCACGTTGAGCCCGGATATCAGCTAGGACACACGGAGCGCTCACGGATTTCAGATACCTCCTAGATTGTTAATTAATCCCTAGCTTTAAGAGGCTCAAAATCCTATTTTAGGACAGCCAAAACCAATCTCAGGGCCTGCATCTTCCCAGTGCACAGAGTGCAGCCAAATTGGGACCCAAATCTGGGGATGCCCAAACACACGGTGCCTGCAGCACCCAGGGGAAAGGGCCTGGCACCCAGCGAGGTGAGATGCCCTCCTGGTGCAGGAGCACCCAGCTCTGCCAGGCCAGATGTCACATCGCGGAGGGATCTGCAAACCGCGACGCTCGGTGCGAAT